ACTGAGAAAATAGTTATTGTTGCTAAAAGAACAGTGCTATTGAGGAGGCGTTTTGGGAAATTTTGTAATTGAATTTTCATTCTTTGGATGTTTGGGAGTTTGTGCTTTATGCTTTACTAAATACTACTTTTTTTACTTGAAATTTTAGTAAGTTGTTCTATATTTACTTGGGAATTTGTCTGTCTTATTACCAACGTTTAATCCCTTAGGGCTGGCGTTCAAAGTTATCAATTCTTTTTATGGTTATATGTTTTATAACAAATGGTCCACACCTTTGATGAAACTGTATGATATTTGTAAAATCTTAATACCCATATAATATTTGATACACAGACAGAAACAAGTTTTCATGGCTAGGCAAACCATTAGGGTCAGAGAATTTGGCTTAGGATTACTTAAAAAATACATTAAACAATAAAGTAGCTTGACGTTTCAATGCAAGAAAATTTTAATAAAATTCAACCATGGAAAGTTACTCTTGTATACGCAAACCACCAGTCGACCAAATTATCGATATAAGCCTTAACAATCAATACAAACCTAACCCACCTAATCATACCGAAAAAATACATGGCAACCTATTAAGGAGATTATGAATGAAGAAACAGTATCCAAAAGTCAATGATAAAACGTAACGTATCCAAGTTCCGTAGCAAAAATCAAATGAGAAGTGCCAGACAAAGAAGTTTTGAATTACAGTCTAACGGATAAGACTTATTTTAATTTGCCATGTGGCCTTGAGACACATACATGCAGCCTTTCCTCTGAGACAAGTGAGAGACTGGCTTCATTGTCACAACCGGAGCTCTGCAAGGAGATCAAGGCGAAAGATCAAGGGAGTATGCGAGATGTAGGAATGCTTGGAAACTTATGTTCAATACGACGGTAAAACTGTTTGTGGACCAAGAGCGCAAAGTATGAATTTGCTGAACGATGACTGTAGATGGCCATACATTTCGAAAGGGTGATGACAGTTTGTACCGTAATCCATATGAGATTTTTCCTACAACTACAATCAATTCTTTGTTTGAAGTTCATTATTGGTGATGGTGAGTTAATGTTGTTCAAAGGTTTATAGCGGACATTTTCCGTCACGATGGTAACAATCAATACACAACCCAATTTTGTACCTACCTAATTTTACCTAATTACATACCTACCTAATTTTGTACCTAATTTTGTTACATAATTTTGTAGGTTTGTTAGTTTTAATGTTAGTTAAGTTTTTTCGCCTGAAGACGGGATCAGATTCCAGATCCCGAAACGTTGTGTATTGTTTTTTACCATAGTGATGGAAAATGTCCACAATAAACCTTTGAACAACACCACAATCAACTTATAACACACGGGTTAACTTTTTAGTTGTAACTAAACTTTCATTTAATTTATGTTTGATTTTATAGGTTATATTATTTGCTTACCAAATGGTAGTGTTTAATGAAATAACAACAGTTAAATCCGCTGATTTAGCGAGTGAGAATGGATAAAGCGGAAATGAGGTATTTTGCGTACTGTTTACAAGTGTTGCATGTCATTTTTATGCAGTGGTAGACAAACATTGAGACTGGCTTCTTCACGGATTGGGTAAAAACGCTGTACTATTAAACGATCCACGAAACATACGTTAGGCCAACCTGGGAATACAGTAACACTCGACTAACACTAATCGGTTAAGAAAGGCAAATAGTAATTTCAATCCACAATGTTATTTTATGTCAAAATTCACCTCTACCAGTAACAAGTGCCTTCTCAGGCTTGTATGACTATAATGGTAAATAAGATAAGAGAAAGAAATGGATAATCTTTGTAGGTTTAGGTCATATTAGGTGTAAATAGTATACAGTATAATACATTACTGTACCTTCACTTAAACTTTATTTTTATGAAGTAGCATAGGCAACTTGGTGGCACTAAAGGTACTATAAAGACACATTAAGAATAATTTAATTTTAGTTTAAGTAAAAATTTGATACTAGAGAAGGCGTATGTACTGAGGTCGTATTTAAAAGTTCATTATTTTAGTCTAGAAAGCATAAAAGTTATTTCTGTGAGTTCGATTTACATTTTTGTGCGTTTCTGTGTCAAAGGCTTTTTTTATATTTTGAAGAAAATGCCACAACCAAAGGTCTTGTTACAAGCTGACGTCAACCTTTTTGTAAGGTAGCATCATTAATTCATATCCCAATGACAAATTGTATATGAGTCAGGAAACGACCTAGCGTGGAAAGATTTTAAGGTACTATAACCCCCCGGCTACCCAGACATTCAGAAGAAACATTCAACAGTTCCTTCTGGGGGGTTTAGGTTCGAACCAGGATCAGAGATTTAAAATGGTGGTCTAGAGAATATGACTCTAGCTTTTGTCGAGAGAGCCTGTAAGAAATAAGCGTTATCGGAATCCAACCTTGTCCAACCGAATTCGGGACCATTTTTCGTCCTTGCTATACTCCGTTCAAACAGCCATGGCACCTGACGGATTAGGAGAACCCATAGAAACCCTTGGGGCCTCCTAATCCCTCAGGTGCCACGGCTGTTTGAACGGAGTTAGTCTCTTTCTTGATTTTGAATTTCCTGCCTACCTACAAGAGGAGTTATCATTTAACGTGGCTTTTCATACAAACCTGATTGTATATACCTTAATATTTTAGTTGTCTAACCATGAAGATCTTCCTTCAAGACCATAAAAAGAATCGATCGTGAAGATAAAGGCCCGCCACCATTTTAGAATTTTTAAGATTCACATCCAACAACGAACAGTTCTCCGAGAAAGGACACGGAGATCCAATGACGTAATAGTCAGTGAAAGTAACTAGGATTACAATGACACTACGCCGTGATACAATTGGTTCTACGTTCTATTGTTGCGGGAAACGGCCTTCCTAATCGGTCCTTCAGCTACTAGTGGGCCAGATAACTCTAGAGCAGTAACTGATAGCTGCCAGTGCCTTCTTGATTGTATTATTACGTTTTATAGTGGATGGATTTTGTTCCATTTCTCTATAACCACGAAATTTACATACATCAAATGCCAATGATTCATACACAATCCTCGAAGACACACACATCGAGACAAAACGAGAAAGCATTTTCGATTTTCGCTGTTGTTAATTAATACAAAGCTTAATATTTTTTACACCACACTACATTATTTTGACGAACTTCCCACGCAAGGATTTAGTCCAGAAAACAGCTGTTTGCCGCCAGCTTATTCAAATGGGGTTTCATTGCGTACTACTGTACTGCAATGAGTTTTACCAGACACCAATCAGCTGACTATACTGTATTTAGGTTGCAATAAATGGTTATAAACAAAAACATAACCTCTCTTAGAGGTTATGACTAGTGATTTTTAGTCCTTTAGTTGGTGGAAATATATAAGGATTTGTACAGATTTATTAGTATGGCGTAAACTATCGTACGTAACTCGTCCAAAATGTGTGTACCGGACTCGTATGGTAAACACTTATTTTCAGGACTAGTAACGTAATATACTATTTCAAAGGCACTTTTTTCTGATAGTGACACTACTATTCCAACTTATATCCACAATTTACAAGCGACAAAATGTCTTGCCATGAACAGCCTTAGAATTCGTAAATATAAATATATTTTAATCTTCGTTAGCAAAAAAATATTTTTTTCTAAATATCTATTAATTGGGCCTAATTGGTAAGATTTGTAAATTTGTCGAGGTCGCGCTGCTGTAATATTTTGAATTGACATATTTAAATTCCATTCCATAATCTTCCAGCTTCTGATCTGAAGCACCACGAGTGTACATCTACATTTTGAAGTGAATAGTGCCACCTTGATCATAGTAATTTCGTTGTTTCTGCCAAGAGCATCTAGATTAGCCTGACCTACTTGTAGAACAATGCCTCCTGGGATTTTGGAGGCTTGTGTCTTAATCAGGCTGGAATTCCCAGGTTAAAAGTTACGAAAGTATAATAATGTAACTGTAAATTATATAATATTGATTTACATAAACATGCACTAAAAGCATGCACTAAAATATTATTTCAAAGTTTTTTAAAGTGTTATTCAGTTTAGTATTTCTATTGCAATATTAATTAAAAATATATTTAATTAATTCAAAATAATCATGCTATATTTTAGTTCATAAAATTTGTACCTAAAATGGTGTAAGATTATGTATTTCACATCATATCAACAAAACTAACCATACACCATTCCCTATTTGAATAACCGACCAAGTTCAAAAGCTTTTGAGTAGGCCTGTATCCACTCCAAAGTTAGTTTCACCTCTATACACAACCCGAAGTTTTCCCAATTGTGAAAATAATCGCAGAAAGAAGTTCAGCAGTTGTGAGTTTCAAAGTAAGTTTCCGTTATCTAGAGAACTGTTTGTTTTTGTCAAGGAATGTCAACCAAAAATAGTATGGAGTCATGTAGATAAAATTATTCACTGGCATTTGTTTAAGGGTGAGGGCTACGTTAACAAATGTAACAGTACAAAGAGGAACATAGGCTTACACACATTTTCAAGAGTTATTAGCCTCTGGATTACTTTTGAATATTTATAATTGTTTAAATACCTGCATGCATTAATCCAAACTGCTGCTTGTGGCGACTATAGTTTCGGTTCTGCTATGGAACCATCTTCAGGCTGTACAAGGTGTCGTTTACCTTATACGACCTGAAGATAGTTCCTAGCTAAACCGAAACTAACTATAGTTGCCACAAGCAGCAGTTTGGATTACTGAATGCAGGTACTTACACCAAAGTAAACTTACACACAGTATAAAGTTTTAATAATATCTCTAATGCATTTTGGTGAATGGAGTTCGCAAATACTGAGAACATTCTCTATATCCTTCATTGATGGACATACACCTCAAGATAGATACCAAACTAGCTCAGGACATTAAAAATACTATTTGGCGAGATTCGAACCTATAACACTTCGCCAGAAGTCCCGAGCTCTAACCACAAGCTTGGCGAAGTCAAAAGCAATGTGTAAGTTTCACACGGATACTCACATCCCGCATACAGTGCGAGGGTGCCGACTAGGATGAATACGAGGAATGAAGCAAGAATACAGCATCCGCAGCGATAGTGGTCTCCGAGTTTGCGGGTGAACCTAATGTCACTGTCCGAGGAGAGGATCGAACTAGGCGTCTCAGACCGGGTCCAGTAGGGTCTGGTGCTCACGGAACTCACTGAGATCTGCAAAGAATGTGTGCAATTAGTATTGTAGAGTCTTTATCAAAATATAATAGTATCAATGTGTATAAGCATAGTTATTGAAGTATACAATTATCATAGTATCAAAGTCTTTTAGTATCACTATCGTAGTATCATAGAATCGCATAGTTACTATCGTAATCTCTTTCTATCGTAGCATCAGTATATGTAGTTACAGCATAGTACCACACAGAATTTACAGAATTTTACGGACGTCAACTTACACTTTTTACTAGTTCAAAAGGTATTTTGAGCTTCGAGTTTTTTTAGTTTAACATAAACACATAAATAAAAAAATGTTTATTGTGTGTACAAATGTTGATTATATAGAGGTTTTGGTCTAAATGAATACAAATTTAATGTGTGGTAATTATTCCACGACGAATGAGGTTTTCCAGTGTTGATACCGATGTTGTATGATAATAGAGAAATTAATATGGTATTGATAGAAATGTACTGTATTGTTTTATGGGACCAACTATTTTGGGGGATTCTGGTGTATATTATACTGTATAGCACGAAGACATTAAGTCTTCACCAGGTCAGGTGGTGTAATAATACACAAAATATTCACAAGAAATAAATTGTATAGCTGTTTAACTTTCAACATCCATCAAACAATCTACACACTTAGTAATTAAGTCATGTAATCATATATTGCAGCATTAACCATTTAGAATCATTTTGCTAGGGCAAGTAAACTATTCCTTAGAAAAATCTGAATTAATCTCTTGTATCGATGTTTGATTCACGATTGTTAACGTTTTAGTTCACCACCGTTGTCTTAATGTTTTTAAATATCATATCATGATAAATTTAATATGACCCATAGAGATTAAAAATGTAGCAAAAAATAGCCTAAGTTTAATCTATAATCAAACATTTTTAGGACCCACATTACACGGAAAAGTCCCATAAATAGTTTATTAACAATAATTAAGTGGTAAAACTTGTATAAGGTGTTAGCCTACTTTAATATTGTATTTTCCAGTAAAACCTGTGCGATTTTAACATCATTTTGTAAGGCAACAGTGTTGCGTGGCATTTCCATCTGGCTGTAAATCCACGCGAGTCTCTCGAGGCTAGAGGTTAGAGATGTACAAGGCCTTGAACTTTATACTTTCTCGTGTCGGGCTTGGACCGTTCCCCACATCGCTGACCCACAGAGCACCCACTACCTTTCTCCTCCTCAAGGTTCTACAAGATAGAGATTTAGTGACAATCGAAATCGAGCAAATAGACCCGTCTCCATTTGTCTACCTCAATTCTTGTGCGTAGTTTGAGTGTGCCCTTTAGAACCATTTTGTTAAACCATGTTAATTCAAATTGAATTGCCTTAATTATCTTCAAATACTGTTTAAGGTTAGTTTAGGTTTTGTTAGTTAGGATCCGTGACTTAAACTAAAACATAAACTGTGTGTTGTTACATACAAATTATAAAGTGATATTCGTTGAAAAATTACTTGAATGTTTGGAAAAACTTGAATTTGAAACATCTACTGTCATTGCCATAATCTACTCAAAATAATTTACTACAAAAATAGCAAGTTTATTCGACACAAATAGCAGTGCTCGACTGACAATCAATAGGTTGCTGGATCAGTCCTGAGAAATTCAGTAGCTATTTGATGGTTGGAAACTAGACCCAGCTGTCCTAAATAAATGATCCTGGCTAATGAAACAGCTGATCTCATTCAGTATCAAAACTACATATTAACATTATAAATACTACATTCTACACTCGTACTTCACTCATATTTGGGTTAAAACAAACCCAGGTGGTGTCCCATTCTCGATTAATAATTAATGATAGTAAAATGAAGAAAAAGCCGAGTATTAGAATTATTCAATTTTCAACAAGAATGTTTGAGGTTCTGGTACAAGTAACGGTTGGGTTGTCATGGTTACGCTTGTAACCACATCGGTTATAGTTACGGATATCAGGTTACACCCCGGGGACTGAGGATATCTTGTGACAAAAATATGACGGATATAACTAGCTTGACTTGTGGTTACACTTCTGAACTGTTGATCAAAATATGGGAAATGACGTGTGGATATTTCATAACCGTGGGAGGGGTGCAAAGGTGTTTTTTTGTAAACAAGTGGAAAGTTCTTGAACCTTAAAGGTGCTAATGAGACTCAAAAGTGTTCAAATGAAACTAAAATAGATCTTACGACACCGAAACACCAAGGTGTGTGTATTTAGATGAGAATGAACAGTTAAGAGAAAATAGTCGCAACCATCTTTTATTAAAAAAAGCCCAACTGTGCCGGAAGAAGGTTTTTACGGTTTCTTCCAAATCATTTAAAACCCATTGGCAACATCAAATTTAAAAACAAATTAAAAAATTATGTCATAGAAATCGCTCCTTACTCCATTAAAGAGGTGTTTCCCCAATTAACCTGATTTTATTGGTAGTTTCTTAGTATTATATAAATTTTGTAATTTTAGCTTACAACTGTATTTACTAGGTTAAGAATTTGACACTATTCAATGTACAATGTACAATTATTGAATAAAGATATTGAAATGAAAGGAAATGAAAAATGTTGGATGAATTAGGTGACTACTTTGTAACTGACTATACTGTCTGAACTCTATACTGTATAGCCAGGACCATTAATATTGGTCCAACATTAGTACATTTTGTTCTTAAATTGTAAGTAATTCAGCGTAATTTTAAAATAATGATGGTTGTTTTAAGGAAAAATAATGAGAAAGGTAAAACGTAAAACAAGTTCAAAATTTTGCAATTTTAACCATTATTTGCTGAGCTATATCTTAGACACTATTAGGCCGGTAGTAACCATTTTGGCCTTAAACTATAGGTAATTTAATTTTCTTTAAAAATTATCATCTTCGTTTTTCACGAAAAAGTAATGATTTAGGGTCAAAATCGGACAAACGTAAAAAGGCGGAATTCTGCCGGTTTTAAGCTTTTTGGCGGTGATGCGGAAGGTCGCCGAGGTCGAAAATGTGGATTGAGCATCTTGATACTCACACACAACACAAAAGAAAAAAATCTACCACCCCATTTCATGTTAGGTAAAAAGCATTAGGTTACTAGATTACAATGATCAAGGACAGATGGGTCAAGTTTTTACTCATCAATAGGTTTGGACTATACTCATGATTGAACCGATAAAATGTTGATTACGGGTCGAGAAATTATTCTGTGCAAAGTTACAAAAATAAGGGTTTCCATTGTTAAAATAATTTTACAATGTAAGGTCCAAATAATTGGTTAAAGTTAAATATTTAATTCAGTAGACTAGTAGCAGTTCACACTCGATATTGTGTAGAGCTAAGTTTACATGTATTTTTCTCTTAATGTAAAATAGTGTTTTTCAGGTGGGTGGGAGTTGATGTACGTGATGTAGCTAATCATCTAAGCAAGATGATAATAATTTTAAAGACCAAGACGAAAAAATTGTAAAATCTATGCAAGAATGAAAATAAAAATTTGGAAAAATAGGATGACAGAATGTAAATTGTGTTATAGAGGAAAAAATACACTTTTACAAGTAAATACTAGTTGGTCCATATCGTTCGTATATGTTATGTATTCACATACAATCAAAACAATATATGTATGTATGTCCTGTGTGCACAGCTTCTCTGTGAATAAACAAGTACTGATCAATGTGAACCTTGTAAATTATTTCCACATAATGTTCGAGAATATTTAAGTCTTATTCCTGATCATCAAATCCTGTAGGAATAAAACCTCTCCTGCCTTCACAGCTGTTTTAGCTTGTAACAATTATGTAATTGGCTTCATTATTTCATAGAAACAGTAACAAAAATAAATAATTTGCAATCGGTTTGTTACATTTACGAGCGCTTTTCATATCATACAGCCACAAATTATATAGTATAGGTACAGTATGTTGATAAGTAATTTTAATTTATTCATTTTAATTATGCCGTTGATAATAGAAAACATGAACAATACTACAATTAATGGCAGTACTAGCTGGCTGTTTTCAGAAACTACGAAATAATTCATTTGTATAGTTTGAGGTTTATATATCGTTGCAAATTAAGAGTAAAGCTGCTAATATTTAATTAAATCATCATACTAATCATATCATACTATAAAATAAAGTTGTTTCTTTGGGGTCCAGTCACGCATTAACTACTTATTGGATTGGGCTGAAATTGGTATGATTAAATTTCATATTCCTCATTAACGCATAGGCAACTCTTATCTCAAAAATCCGTTTGGGCTCCACCCCAGTGGCTCTGAAGTGTCCCATGTTTACTATTTGTTTACCCTTCACATTTAAAAATAATAAAATAATCTTTAAAGCTGTTTCAACCAAAAAAATAAGCTAGGTTGTACATTATTCAATGTCATTAAAAATTTACAAGGTTCAACAACAGAGTCCAACACTATTATGTTGCGAATACGGGTACAGCAGCTACTAGTTCATGATTTCATTCCGGATGACCTTTAAAAACTCTATAAAACACATTCACAAAGTCAAAGGGGAAAATTACATAATCGTTACCATTAAACTGGTAATTAATTACATAATTACCAGCGGCTACTCGTAATAAGCTAATTACCTACCCTAATATTCCTCTACATAATGTGAACCAATTGTTGGCGAATTCCCATGGCGCAACCCACAGCTCACATACGATTAGCAAATCCTTGTGTGTGGAATAAATATTATCGCTTGTTATGTACTCGTGCATGTAATTATGTTATGATACTGGAAGAGTGAAAGTAAGTCGTGTTTTGGAAATGGTCCATCGAGTCTCATAATCCCCTCCTCAATAGCGTAAAGGTTACCGGAGTTGGTGATATGGTATTGTGTAATATTGCCTGCAACGAATTTCAATGTTCCATGATTAATTGAAGGGACTGCAACGAATGAATTGATATTTGGTTTTTGAATATGTCATGGGAAGAAAGAGAATTTAAAACAGAACAATAAGGGGTGCATTTCATCAGAAGTCTTTTACCTAC